ACTCAGCCGCCAAAGACTCAGCCGCCGAAGACTCAGCCGCTGAAGACTCAGCCGCCACTTCAGAGGTCTCTACAGAGGTCTCAACATCCACTGAGGGTCCCAGGTCCGCCAACGTCGCTATGTCCACCGAGGGTCCCAGGTCCACAGACGTTGCTACGTCCACCGAGGGTCCCAGGTCTGCCAACGTTGCTACGTCCACCGAGGGTCCCAGGTCCACCAACGTCGCTACGTCCACGAGGGTCCCAGGTCCGCCGAGGTCGCTATGTCAACCGATGGTCCCACGCCTCCAGAGAGTCCTACACCAGCTGCGCATCCAGAGGGTCCTACGCCAGCTGTGTCTCCAGAGGGTCCTACGCCAGCTGCGCCTCCAGAGGGTCCTGCGCCGTCAGAAGGTCTGTGTTTGACAGCTCCTGACCCTGCCGCAGAAGATCCCAGCTCCACAGCTACTGACCCTGTCGCAGAAGATCCCAGCTTCACAACCTCGTGTCCCACGACAACTCCTGAACCTGCAGCAGAAGAACTCGTCTTCAAAGATCCTGCCGCAGAAGATCTGAGCCCTCATGTCCCCTCGCCTCGTCCAGGTTCCTCGCCTTGGTCCCACGCCTCACCTTGGCCCCACGCCCCGTCTTGGTCCCACGCCTCGCCTTGGTCCCTCACCTTGCCTAGGTCCCACGCCTCACCTTGGTCTCACGCTTTGCCTTGGTCCCACACCTCACCTTGGTCCCATGCCTCACCTTGGTCTCTCGCTTCGCTTTGGTCCCTCACCTCACCTTGGTCTCTCGCCTTGTCCAGGCTCCTTGCCTGACCTGCCCTAGGGTTTTTGGACTAGGTCTGCCTTGGAACAATCTGTTGACCACTTGGATCTTTTTTGTTTGTTCCCTGTGTGTGTTTTTTGTCCTGGCCCCACTCAAGTGTTTCCTTGTGCCCTCCATCCTTGCAGTTCCTCCCTCCGCCCACCCTAGTTTTTTGGGGGTCTTTCTGGGGACACCAGGGGGCATCCTTGGGGGGAAGTTACTGTAAGGATGGTATCCCTCTGTCAGTCTCGCTGTGTCTGTACTCCCTAGTGCAGACCTGGGCATTGTACGGCCCCATGGCCACATGCGGCCCTTTGGTTGACTCTGACCGGCCCCCGTAAGGGGAATTACAAAATACATATGTAAACAAATGAAGTTAACCAAATCCAGATATAGATCCTCTCTCAATGAAGATGTCAGCTTTGCTTCACATCTCCACCTCAGACCTTCAACCTGACTTTAACATTTCCGTTAAAGCCCAACAGAGACTAGACTTCTCTCACTAAACAAGAACAAAGAACTGAAAAACACCAAATGAGATGTTTAGACTACAAATGTAGGCACGTAAAGAACCGGGACTCGAAATCACAGTTCAGTGACGATCACTATTATATGATGTTTCATAATATTTGGAGTACAAAGACAATATTGTGATATATTTACAAAGCTAAGAACATTTTTCCAGCAGTATATAAAACTCAAAATGAGTTTTGGGGTGAATGTGACTGAAAATTATCATTAATATAACGTCACAAATGGTAAAAATGTTAACAGTTTACCATTGTACTGGGAAATTTAATTGAATAAATGACATTTTTTGTAAGGAAACCTCGTTTTTTCGTTGCTTAATCATAACAAATACTCTTACCAGCTTGTTAAAACAGTGCTATGTACTGCTTTTAATAATGAAATACTATTAATATTATGCAGTATTGAGTTAAGTTGAAATCAGGTCTCTCTTGTAAATGAGTCCTCGAGGCTCAATGGGATTTACCTGTCCAAATAAAGGTTGAATGAAAAAGTCATTTGTGCCAGCCCTCCACAATATTTGTTGTTTTTCATGTGGCCCCATGGAAAAAATAATTGCCCACCCCTGCCCTAGTGTCTCTCAGTAATTACCCCGATCAGCTCCACCCACGTGTCCTTCAGGTGTTTGTATTTTGTATCATCTAGTCTGTGTGTATATAAGCTCTGGTCTGTGTTTCAGTCATTGTCGGTGCATCGTCTGTTACAGCCCCTGGTTTGTCTCCTGTCTTCTGTGTATAATTCTGACCTGATCCTGTCTGTGAGTTTTGCTGCCACATCAGCTATTTATTTTTGATTATTAAAGTGATTATTATTTTACGTCCTGGCCTCTGCGTCCTGTCTGCATATGGGTTCGTTCTTGTTCAGCTCAGCCTGAAAATCCTGACACCCCTCTTGATTTGGATTGGAAATTAAACTGAAACACCCAACCAGACAATTTTTTAACAAATTTTCCACTATCTGCAGAATGCAAATGGGTCTCCTGTAAAAAAGCAATATCAGTTTTCAGCTGTTTTAGGTGTGAGATAATTTTCCGGAATTTTACTGGACCATTCAGGGATTTCACATTCCAGCTCACGCACGACACTAGGCAGCCACTAGAGTGGACAATATCCTTAACGTTAGTCATAATTGAACAGCAGGAAATAAATTACATACAAAATATCACAAGCCTATACCTGATCAAAAAAAAAAAAAAGAAAGTAAACAACAACAACAACAACCCCCCCCCCCAAAAAAAAAAAGACTGATCTGGTATAAACCCACCCCTCTTTCCTACCCTAACACAGAGAAAGCAAAAGACACTATCAACTGAAAATCCACACATTAGTGTTTACCTAGAGAACACAATCCAACCTTCTCTGGGCTCCCATCTACCCATATATGATATAATGGTAATTAAAAAACACAAAAATAAAAAACAAAACAATGCAGATATTACCATAAATATCAAATTCAAATATGTACAGCTGTCAAATAAGAGTGTTAATACTGTGGAATCATAAAAAAGGTAAAAGAAAAACACTTATTATAGGGTGTACACTCCATTATCTTTACCCGCTTATTCTATTTTGGGTCACGGGGGTCGCTGATGCCCATGTCCAGCAATCACTGTGCGAGGGGCGGGGTACACCTTGGACAGGTCGCAAGTCCATCACAGGGCCACATAGAGACAAACAAGACAAACAACCATTCACTGTCTCACTCACACCTAGGGACAATTTAGAGTTACCACTTAGTCTAACATGCATGTTTTTGGTCTGTGGGAGGAAACCGGAGCACCTGGAGAAAACCCACGCATGCACAGAGAGAACATGCAAACTCCATCCAGAAAGGCCCCTAGACCGGGGTTTGAACCAAGGACCTGCTCGCTGAGAGGCAGCAGCTCTACCAGTTGCGCCACCGTGCTGCCCAGGGTGTACACTGTATACCAAAATTTACAGTAATCAATGAAAAGCATTAATATTGTACACTTACCCCCTAATACAAGTAAAGTGTTATGGCAATCAAATCAGAGCGTTATTAGTGTAGAATCACAAAAAAAAAGAAAAAGAAAAACGCTCCTATTTTAGGGTGTACATTGTATCCCAAGACTTACGGTAATCAGTTTGAAGCATTAACACTGTGCACCTGCCCCCAACAAAAACAAAATATCGTACATACCGCCACCAGAGGACCACAGCCAACCATCCGAGTCAAACACAAGTTCAACAAAAGTTGTTCATTGAAAGACACCAGTCCTGAGATTAATTTTGATCTGTTTCCATCCTCACCGCCCATTGTCGGAATTATATTTTTCCTGATGTATTCCACAGCTTTAATGGAGTCAACAAGCACCTTGTCCATCCCTCTATGTGTGATGCGAAGCCACACCGGGAAGAGAAGACCTTATTGAACCTCCGGTCTGTTCTGCAGTAGCCGCTTCGTCTCGGTGAACGCTGCTCATGCCCTTGCCACTCCCAGGGTGTAGTAAGCTGCAATGAATATGGTTGATTCTTTGAAGTGGAGATGGCTACGGCTATGTGCCCACCATAGGATTTCCTCATGTTCTTGCTGGTAATGAGGCCTAGCCACGACAACTCCTGATCGCCCATCTGAGCCTCTTCTGCCTGGTGTCCGGTACACATGATCAGTCAGCAGCAATTTGCTAAATTTTAGGACTTCCATTAGCTTTTTAGCTATCACCGATGTGCTACATTCACCTGCCAACTCAGGAAGTCCAGTCATTCTAATTGCACATTTTGTATGCCCCTCAATGATTCAACTTGTCTCTTAAGCCCATCAACGTCCCTCCGCAACTCCTTCATGTCCCACGTATTTCCACAACAAAGTTGTTTTGAACCAGTTTGACATGACTGTTGATGAGGAAGAGGGCGTGCCCCAGAGACCATCTTAGCACCAACATAATTGCTCTTTTCCACTTTGGAGTGGAGTTGGGGGGAGAATCAGTTTTGTGTTGTGTGTTTCCTTAGACTGATGAAGACTTCTGGATGGAAGATGAAATGTTTCAGCACAAAAAAAAGAAACTGTCCAGATGACCTGACTGAAAATTGTTGTATTCAATTTTACCAATTGATTTAAGGAAATTAGGTCATTTTGTCCTCCAGTAATCTAAGCCTATAGCAGCATAACAAGCCAACCCTAACTATAGGATTTATCAAAAAGGAAAATCTTAAGCCCAGTCTTAAAACAGGACAATGTGTCAGCCTCACAGACAGAAACTGGAAGTTGGTTCCACAAGAGAGGAGCCTGATAACTGATGGCACGCCAAGTACCTTCCTACCTTTAGCCAAGTACCTTCCTACCTTTAGCCAAGTACCTTCCTACCTGTCTCTCTAATCACTGTTGCTGTAGTAGTCCAGTCATTTGGAAGCTCTTTCTTACCATCCAGAGCCTCAAACAGCTCCACTCTGAACTCCTCACAATATTCTTCCTTCTTCATCTTCCACCATTTAGTCTTCTTCTCTGAATTTACTTTCGCTCTTCTTCACCACAGCAGTTATTCTAAACACAGCCATCTGATGCTGTCTGGCCAAGTTAGTGACTGGCTTTGCAGTAGTTTAATTTAAATTATTTTGTTGTGTTTTCCTAAATTTTCACAAATTACTGTAGTTATCGCTTATTCAATAGAAGAATAATATTATTATACAGTATATCACCTCCTTATTTCTTTCTTTACAGTGTTTTGAAGCACTCTGTGGATGCCACTTTTGAAGACCAGGGCCCCAGTCCAGGCTACCGGATAGAAATGTCCATCTTCTATGTGGTCTACTTTGTGGTCTTCCCTTTCTTCTTCGTCAACATCTTTGTTGCATTGATCATTATCACCTTCCAGGAGCAAGGAGACAAGGCTCTGTCTGAGTGCAGCTTGGAAAAGAATGAGGTAATGCACTGACACACCAAACTGTGCTGGATAGATGAGTCCATTTTAATTCAGTTCATTTCAATTTAGGTTATTTCTGTAGTGCCAAGTCACATCAGAAGTCATCAGGGCACTGTACAAAAACATTCACATACATTATAAAAGACAGTAAAAGTTCTCTATCTAAGGAAGCAGCAGATTGTTTTGAATCTTTACTTAGTCACAATCTCCCATCCTGAGCAAGAACAAAGGAGACAGTGGAAAGGAAACCTTTTAACAGGAAAAAAAACTTCCAGCAGAACCAGGCTCAGGACCTGCGGCCATCTGCTTCGACCAGCAGGGTTTGAGTGGACAGGAAGTAGAAACAGACAAACACAGAATGACAGGTCCAGATGGACTTTCTATAGGAGGAAAGACAAAAAACATGTTAAGATGGAAATAATTACAAATACTAACAGGTAGAGTAGAGCAAGTAAAGACAGCAGCAGAGTGAGGAAATGTGGTCAATTTGTCCTCCAGCAATCTAAGCCTATAGCAGCATAACTAGGGGAAAGCTCAGGAGACCCAAGCCAACGCTAACTATAGGATTTATCAAAAAGGAAAGACTGAAGCCTAATCTTAAAGGCAGACAATGTGTCAGCCTCACAGACAGTGGAAGTCAGAGTCAGAGTCAGAGTTTCTTTATTGTCATTCGCACCTCATGTGGTACATGTGGTGGAGCGAAATTATGTACACAAGGTCCCAGTTACATCCAACAATAAAATGTATAAGAAAAACAGTAACAACATCTAAGATATGAACTAAGAAAAACATCAACTAAATATACACTAAGCACTCATAACATAAAACATTGAACATCAGCACAAACATGAACATGAGTCTGTGAGCAGATGTGCACGCATGAACACATCAACATTGAAACAGATCAGCAGCAACATGAAACAGATCAGCAGCAACATTATATGGTTTTTCACAGTGATTATTCTAGTTAGAGATTCATGAGTCTGACAGCCTCAGGGTAGAAGCTGTTCCTCAGTCTAGTGGTTCTACACTTAAAGTTGGTTCCACAAGAGAGGAGCCTGATAACTGAAAGATCTTCCTCCCATTCGGTTTTTGGAAACTCTAGGGACTGCAAGTAAGCATTCAGTCTGAGAGTGAAGTGCTCTGTTAGGAAAATATGGAGGAATAAGATCTGTAATATAAAATGGAGTTAGGCTGTTGAGAGCTTTGTAGGTTAGAAGTAAGATTTTGAATTCTATTCTGGATTTGACAGGGAGCCAATGGAGAGAAGCTAAAACAGGAGAAATATGACCTCTCCTGCCAACTCACATTAAAACTCTGGCAGAAGCATTATGGATGATCTGAAGACTTTTTAAAGAAGTTTTTGGACACCTAGATAATAATAATATTAATAATAATAATAATGATAATGATAATAATAATACATTTTATTTCTACAGTAGTCCCTCGTTACTTTGCGGTTCGTTTTTCGCAGACTCGCTCTATCGCAGTTTTTCAAAGTAAGACTGGACATGACACATAATTGGCTGATTGATGGATGAGCCGAGAGCACTGGCTGGTGGCAAAGAGCTGAAATCATGGCATGCTGTGCTCTTTTAGAGCATTTAGCGTTTAGAAAGGTTTAGAATAGTGCAAGAGTGTGGGAGGGGTTTAAAATGCCTTTATACATTATGCAT